CTTGTAGATCGCGTGCGGAAGCGTTCAAGAGAACGGGGTTGAGGTAGTCGTTCTCGTCGTGATCCTATCACCGGAGATCCTAGCGCCGAACGGACGGCACCTCCGCGTTCAATACACGTACGGTCAGCGTGACGTCTCCTCCGTCTTGATCCAGCAAGGGGGAAGGAGAGGTTGATGAAGATCCAGCAGCACGACGGCGTGGTGGTGGATGCAGCAGGACTCCGGCAGGGCTTCGCCAAGCAACTGCGGGAGGAGGAAAAGGTGTAGCAGGGGAGGGAGGCGCCAAGACTCAGGGGTGCGGCTGCCCTCCCTCCCCCTCCTTTATATAGGCCCCCAGGGGGGGCTCCGGCCCTGGAGATGGGAATCTCCCAAGGGGGCGGCGGCCAGGGGGGTGGAGTGCCCCCCAAGGCAAGTGGTGCGCCCCCCCCCCCACCCTAGGGTTTCCAACCCTAGGCGCAAGGGGGGCCCAAGGGGGGGCGCACCAGCCCACTAGGGGCTGGTTCCCCTCCCACTTAAGACCACGGGGCCCTCCGGGATAGGTGACCCCACCTGGTGGACCCCCGGGACCCTTCCGGTGGTCCCGGTACAATACCGGGTGACCCCAAAACTTTCCCGATGGCCGAAACATCACTTCTTATATACAATTCTTTACCTCCGGACCATTCCGGAACTCCTCGTGACGTCCGGGATCTCATCCGGGACTCCAAACAACATTCGGTTTGCTGCATACTCATATTCATACAACCCTAGTGTCACCGAACCTTAAGTGTATAGACCCTATGGGTTCGGGAGACGTGCAGACATGACCGAGACGGCTCTCCGGTCAATAACCAACAGCGGGATCTGGATACCCATGTTGGCTCCCACATACTCCTCGATGATCTCATTGGATAAACCACGATGTCGAGGATTCAAGCAACCCCGTATACTATTCCCTTTGGCAGACGGTACGTTACTTGCCCGAGATTCGATCGTCGGTATCCCAATACCTCGTTCAATCTCGTTGCCGGCAAGTCACTTTACTCGTACTGTAATGCATGATCCCGTGACCAGACACTTGGTCACTTTGAGCTCATTATGATGATGCATTACCGAGTGGGCCCAGAGATACCTCTCCGTCATACAGAGTGACAAATCCCAGTCTCGATCCGTGTCAACCCAACAGACACTTTCGGAGATACCCGTAGTATACCTTTATAGTCACCCAGTTACGTTGTGACGTTTGGTACACCCAAAGCACTCCTACGGTATCCGAGAGTTACACGATCTCATGGTCTAAGGAAAAGATACTTGACATTGGAAAAGCTCTAGCAAACGAACTACACGATCTTGTGTTATGCTTAGGATTGGGTCTTGTCCATCACATCATTCTCCTAACGATGTGATCCCATTATCAATGACATCCAATGTCCATAGTCAGAAAACCATGACTATCTGTTGATCAACGGGCTAGTCAACTAGAGGCTCACTAGGAACATATTGTGGTCTATGTATTCACACATGTATTACGATTTCCGGATAATACAATTATGGCATGAATAAAAGATAATTATCATGAACAAGGAAATATAATAATAATCCTTTTATTATTGCCTCTAGGGCATATTTCCAACATGCCAAAGACCTCTAGATGGTGAAAAAACTTCCAACAGCTTCCCATTAAACTTGACTGAATATCAGACTGATTTAACACACGTCATAATCCATGCAATCCACTGAGTGGAAAACCCCCATTTGCTAAGGGCCTTCTCCAAGAAATCCCAGTCGACCAATCATACGCCCTCGAGAGGTCCAGTTTGTACGCACAAGCTGCATGACTATTGCTCTTGAGAGATTGTAGGTGATGAATGCACTCAAAAGCGATGGTAGAATTATCCGAAATGAGCCGGCCCGGGATAAAAGCACTTTGGTTCTCAGATATCAACTCCAAAAGCAAGGGACGGAGACGATTAACCAAACATTTAGACACAAATTTGTAGATAACATTGCATAAGCTGATCGGCCTGAAATCCTTGAGCTCCTTGGGGTGAGGAACTTTTGGGATGAGGACAATCGTTGTATCATTCACACCTTCCGACATAGCACCAGAGACAAAAAAAAATCCAACACTGCTGTAGTAATTTCGGATTTTAGAGCTGTCCAGTTCCGTTGGTAGAACCTTGCCAGGAAACCATCCGTGCCAGGAGTTTTCAGTGGACCAATTTGAAACAGAGCGTTGGACACTTCCTCCTCAGGAAACGGAGTGCTCAAAATGTCGTTCATCTGTTAAGTTGCCTTCTCCTCTTTTCTTATTTTTTTGACAAAAGAGAATATATTAATAGCGCAAAGATACCAATTACATCCGGTTATGCTTTCTCCTGCAAGTTTGATGCCACAAGAAGATTAAGATATAAAGTATACGACAATCCACTTCGGTGCCCGGGCTCAGATGAGCCTGCTGAACAGTAACGTGATTACAAATAGACAAAAAATCCAAAAAAAATTACAAGCAATATGTGCATGTGCGTGATGTTCGTGCAAAATTTCATGAAGTTTGGACATTCGAAGAGCGCGCGGCAAAAAAGACAAAATCGTGCGTGAACAGTGTTGTTTTCAAATGTTTCTCACGTATTCAATTTTTTTTCTGCCACAAGTTCCTCGAATGTCAGAACTTCATGAAATTTTGCACAAATGTCACATATTTGAGCATCTTGCAGCACAAAAAAATTTGAATATTTTTTTAAAAAATCTATTTTTTAGGCCTCACTGTTCATGCACCGAGACCCTTCCTCGGACCCTGTGCAGGTGGGAGCTGCGTGCACCGGGCTACCCTTTTTTTACTGTTCATGCCCGGGATCTTCCGAACCCGGGCACCAAAACGCTGCACTCATAAAGTATAGTACATGTTGTCTCAACTATCTATGAGTTTCTAAATAAAGGTAGTTTGCTCAATACAATGGACTTAAGATTTGTAGATTAATTTTCCAGAAAGGCGTGAATGTCTCGATAGTTAAATCATTTATAGGGTAAGATGGTTATGGTTTCAAGATATTTATACCAAACTTATAGAATTAAACATCTCCGGTTTTAAGATTCAGCTTTTAGTGTACCCCAAAATGTCAAATTACATGTATACATTAGCAGTCCACATTGTGTACTTGCATTCACTTTGCTGCTATTTGAGTTCTTTTTTGTTTTATCAACTGACCCACCGTAATCTATTGTATCATTCTTATGAAGTCATGAAAGATGTCATGGAAAGAGCACCCCTTGTTAAAGAGCTGATAGATATGTACATCGGGCCTGGTGTCGTTGCTGCAAAACAACAAGAAGAGGAGTTGGAAAAGGGTTGCCACACGTGTAGAAAACATACCCAATTTTGTAAAGCGGTTTAATGATAAAACTTAATTTTCTCTTCAAGCTTGCCTTGTTATTCCAACAGTCCAACTGATGCCCTAGACAACACAATTTTTATGAGCCAAATTAGCCATTTGAGTAATTGAGCTTCTGAATATTTTGTTGTCATGGGAATCAACATGATTATCATCTAGCTTGACAATTTTAACATAACCATTATTAGTCAGCTTGTTTCCAAAACTAGTACTACATTAGCATACCAAGCATGATTTCAAGTCAAATAAGAACTACCTTAGCGTATGTCTCTCCATTTCAACTTCAAGTCTCATCTACGGTGCGGTTCCCCTAAGCATGGTAGACACATTTGATAATTGTTTACACTTGCTTGGAGGTATAAATGGCTGATACTCCCTCTGTTTCTAAATATAAGTCTTTGTAGAGATTCCACTATGAACCACATATAGATGTATATAGATGCATTTTAGGGTGTAGATTTACTCATTTTGCTCCGTATGTAGTCCATAGTGGAATCTCTACAAAGACTTATATTTAGGAACGGGGGAGTACTATCTAACATGAAAGTTGGCCAAGTGCATATGCTTAATGTTCTGCTTTGGAACCTTAAATAAGTAATTGTGACTACGCTTTAATTAAAAAGAAATCCCGTGCTGATACCTTATTCAGTTTGTATTTTACATTTCAAGTATTCATCATTTTAGCAATGCTCGAATAGTAATTATATTCGAGATTCCTCCTAAATGCTTATATGAGTACTTTGTTTGAAACTAGTATTGTTAATAAAATGGAAACAGAGGCGCATAACCAGTGTTATTGTCCCCGCATCCCTGGTCAGTGTGATATTTTTAGCTGTGATATTTTAAGTGCATGATGTTGATATATCAAATTTTTCATTTGTTCTTGAAACAGTGAAGGAAACATATGAATGGTTTGTTTATCTCTGTTCTTATTCTTTTTGCAATTTAATCTATTATAATACTAAGATTTTTCCTCAAAATGTTTTTGTTACTTACAGAAATGATATTCCACTGCATAAAATTCTTAGTTGAATTCTGTGAAAGACCAGAAGGTGTAATCCTCTAGAGTATAGAATGTTGTAAAAAAAATGTCCACTTGTTGCATGCTACCTTCTCTCATGAATGGGGTTGTTACCACAACAATATATTTTCTCTGTTTTGTTTCCTAGCTATCATTTCAACTATTGTGTGGTAGTGCTATCATTTCATCCACTGACATGAGGTGCAACCTAGATTGATTTTTAGCCTTCCATTAATCATCAATATCATTTTCCTTCCCTTCTAGCTTCACAAATGAGTCATGTCATCTTACCTAATGATTTTTCTTTCAGTTTGTGATCGAGGCTGCGGTGCTGCCTCATCATGGAGATAAACTCCTCGAATTAGCCTCATGGATCACATTATCAATAAACAGAACGGGGGTGGCCTATATACACGAGAAAATAACATAAAATTCGATATTAACCGGTCAACTTGCATCACTACAGACACAGATTCGGTGCACTACCAACACAGCCAGACGGCAACACCGACATATAGTGTCACACTGCATATAGACACGACGAAGATAGAAAAGAAAAAATAAAATCCGGGTCAAATTACAAAGATGAGCTCCCTCCAAGGCTGGAATTAATAGTACATGAGCTGCTGCTGCTGCTGCTGTTGCTGCTGCGAGGCACCGACGTTCTGGAAAGTACCATCGTACATCGCCTGACTCGCACCTACACCCATCCCCATGGCTGCGTGCCTGAGATGCTGAGCCTGCATCAATGCCTGGGTTGAAGCCATCTTGCTCATCGCAATAGCACGTTGATACGCTACGAGATCGGCGGCAGCGGGGTGGCTAGGAGCAGCAGGAGGGGGCAGTGGCGCAGAGGTGGTACCAGGGGGTGTAGGCTTGTTGCCCCAGGAACACTGCAAAACAAGAGAAAAGACCGACATGAAGCTCCAATCAGGACATCAGTCAAAAAAATACCAGCGGAGTGGAGAAAAGAAAAGGCGGTTAAGATGACACATTGGCAAAATACTTGAGCAGGAAAGGTGCTGCTAACCTTGACTGGTTTACCACCCAAAATACGACCATTACCCGTCTGAATTGCAAGGGCAGTTTCGGCATGATTGCTGTACTTGACAAAACCAAAGCCTTTGCCATGCTGGACACGCACCTCCTCGATGGCTCCAGCACCAAGTGCATGGAAGAAACGGTGAAGCACGTCTTGAGTAACCTGGTATTAAGAACATCACGAAATCATTAACGCAGCAAATGGGACAGGTGGGATAATTCATCCACATGCAAAGTGATTCGTGTAACAACAGAGCTTATAGTCTATATGAGCCATGCAAGTGAATGGCAAAGCATAAGAGATGCATCCATAGAAGCATGCTTGAAGAGAATACCTCGTGAGCAAGGTTCCCAACATAAACAGTTCTGTACAGTGGATTATTCTCGGGAGCATCTTCGTTTGATTTCTGCTTTGCATTTTCTGGACAAGACAAATAGTAGACAGCACATCTCAGCATATGGATGATGGAAAGACTTTATATGACATATGAAGAATTGCAATACTTAAGTTCCTAGGAGTCAAAGCCCAAGAACATCATGTAAACATAAAGCGTCGCAACAGAAACAGATATCACAGAAACCAAATAAATACAATCAAACAGCCTAGAATCACATACCCATTGAAATATTCTGGCCAAACCAGCTAATTACTGCTAAATTTAGAAAAGTGCTGCTTTAAGTGGGTGCTGCTTTAAGTGGGTATGCTTTACTAATCAAACTTCAGCATCAACACGAACCAATAAACCTTTATGAAAAGTATTGTCAATTAAAAGATTATTTGACAATGATAATAGCACATATCAAAGAACTAATATTCTACATAACCCATCTTTTGAAACACATCTTAGCAAATTTAAGGAGGTAATAATCCAAATGGTATAAAATACAACAGGTCCATAGAATTATACCTGTGAAATTGTTATTTACATCAGCTATACTTTTCGAATCTGATGTTAGCTGGTCCTCGCCACTGTTGGCACCTTTTGTTGCCCAGTTGCAACGAATCTGCCGATTTCCAAGCCACTGACCTAGAAAGGTTATTTTTTTAATTTTGTCATCACCGGCATTTTAAAACTAAGAAGCTGGCACTCACAATGTCATTTGTGTAACTGTTTCAATCGTGGAAAATATCAAATGCATAGGCCTACAGGCAAAGCAAATCAAAATCCTCACCACACACAAAACAGGTCTGAACAAGAAAAGTTTTGAGGGCATACCATTTAAGTCATTTATGGCACTCTGCGCATCCTGCAGATCAAATAAATTAATTTCAGCAAAAACCAGGAACGGATAAAGCACAGATTCAGATGGTTGGGACTGAGAATCAGCACACCTGTTGATTCCTGAAGGAAACAAAGCCATAACCTCTTGATCTTCCGGTCTTTTGGTCCCACATTACTCGAGCATCACTAGATAACACAAATTACACCATTTTAAAACGATTCAACACTAGGCAACACAAGCACCACTGCCAATCAACGAATATTAGGTATAACATATTAGGTATAACAGCACCATTACAAGATTATAGTTTAGGAAAGCACAAATTCTCAAAAGGCTAACTAAGCCCAATAGCAAAAGAAACTAATGAATACAAGGAAGCACGAATGCTTACGAGCAGTTAGGGGAATATGCTGAGAAGAATGCAAATAATGCAGAATCCGTGACCTCAGGGCTAAGATCACCAACAAAAATATGGAAATGGTCTGTAAAATGAATAAGGATTAAGATAATTGGTCAAAAGCTACTGCACAAGATGCTGGAATACTGATTCACAAGAAACGGTAGTACTAACCTGTTGTATCCTCCCTCTGACCGCTAGCATATGCCCAATTAACTCTGATAGGCTGCCCAAAACTGCAATAATGTTCTTCAGTAAGATATAGTATTGGAAGCAAGTGACAAAACTAAGTTGCAGAAGAATAGAACAAGTAGCTGCTCCTGGCTATTCTTTTTTCTTACATTTGCTTCCCGTTAAGTGTCAAAATTGCTAGGGCAGCTGATCCGCGTTCGTAGTAGTCAACAAAACCATATGAGGACTGCACAAAAGATATAGTTAAAGGTCAATTTTGCCATCCTCTAAACTTGAATCATATATTCGTATTCACCTTCTAAAGCAAACATAACTGCACCCAAAAAAAGGAAAACAGAAAAAGAGAACTACCTTCTCTTTTCTTATAAGCTTGCATCCGTCAACTGAACCAGCACTCTGAAAAACCTCTCGGAGAAGTGCCTCAGTCACTTGAACATGAATATTGCCGACATATCTAAAATTTATAGAAACTTGGCAAATCAGAAAACAGTGTGAAAATTGCTTGTAATTAAGTATTTGCCAGACAAAAATAGACGATATCCATGCAAGAGCATCAGAGTGAAACTAGGTACTCCCTCCGATCCAAAATAAGAGTCGCAGTTTTGAACTAAAGTTAGTTCAACATTAGTTCAAAACTGCGACAATTATTTTGGATCAGAGGGAGTATTATAAATCTACAAGTGTGCAAGCAAAAGGAAGTAAAAATTCAAAATGTGACATGCAATTCAAAGCATGCAAAAATAAATAAAGAAAAAATCACTAATGGGACTCACACACTGCGGCATGTACTTGTATCAAAACCAGGTGGCAGATTTCCAGTGAGAATTGGCTCTATCTGCAAAAATAAAAATGTAAAAATAATGAAAGAAAGAAAAGAAATATCTATTGATAAGCAAGAACCTAAGGAGAAGAAGTAAAATGTGTGCAAGCTATACAGCACAGCACACCCTATAAGATATCACCAGGACGTTCCAATATGTTAAGTGCAACATCAAGAATAAAAGAATCTACATGCTTTGCGATCAAAACCTAATCGGTCAGGAAAAAATGTATGTGCAAATGCAAAATATTGGAAATTGTCATGTAATAACAATGTAAGCATTTTACATCAGGTGCATGACAAGGCAAGTGCAAAAACTCATGATTTGAGTGAAAGAGACTTTAAAACTAACCCACAATGTCAAATCATCTGGGTAAAAAATTATATAACAGAACGGCAAGGTTAACACGATTCCCAGCTAGATTTGGCTGAATAAAATTTAATCAATCAACCAAAATGTCCAGAACACTATAATTTGAAGCATTAGCAGTCTTCCACCGAATAAGCATCAAAAGCAAACCACTAACTAAACATCAAAGTTTGAATACTAGCACTCCAGACCAATAAGTCCTCAATCCCGTTGAGAAATTTAACCAAACAAGCTGAAATCATCCTATTAGTTTTACAAAGTAAAACAAATGAGAACTCCTAGCACCGGACACTTACCAATTACTCGCTAATCGTTCACTACAACATAATATATAAAAATGTCCATATAACCTGGAGACTGTTCCCTCACTTAGCTGAACATCAAAATCTAAAATCGCCACGATTTGAACACTAAGCGCCTTAAGGTCACTTGCCCTGCTCCTTTTACCCGAAACAAACAGAGTGAGCTTGATCATTCACAGTCAGTCAGAAATACTGCTGTCCTCAGTTTCTACTTGGGCGCCGACAGAATCCAGTCCACCCGGACACTGGAGACACACAGGACAGCAGAATTCCACGAATCCTCTGGCTCGATAAACAACCGCTCAATTTACCATACACCGCCGCGGGCTAGAAGCGCCTCCGAAACCACTTAAGAGAAAGCGAAAACAGGGGACAAAGTGACAAACCCAAACACGCCTACAGCCCTCCCCGATGTTCGAAAACTAAGCTCACCCACAATCAGCCTTCTGGCGGACCAAACTTTCGCGGGGCGCTGCCGTGCGGGCGGGCGCGGTGGGTGGGTGAGTAGGTGAGTGGTAACGTACGGACCTGCTGCGGCGGCGCGGCGCCGAGGAGGTGGTGGTGGTGAGGCGGCGGCGGCATCGCGTACATGGACTGCATCGCGGCCGCCTGCTGCATCATCGCCGCGGCCTGGCTCTGCTGCGGCAGCATCGCGCGCCCCGGCCCGCGCCCGGTCCGGCGACGGTAGATTGGTGGGGTGGGAGAGGGGATGGAAGGGTCGAGAAGGTCGGGGTGGAGAAGAGAGAGAAAGAGAGATGAAGGGGAGTAAAGGGTAGAGTTTGTTTGTTTTGCTTCGTGCCTTGGGTCAGTCCCTGGATACGTGGGCCTGGAATCTCGCTCGCTTGTTTCGGTTTGCAGAGAGAATCGTCCCGGCGACCCACCGGCGACCCCTGTATTTGTCTTTTTTACGCGAACTTAGGATCTTTATCCAGTGTTTAATCCTGCCTAAAAAAACCAGTGTTGATCTCTACTCTTTACTTTTTACTCCCTCCGTTCCTAAATATAAAAGATTTTAATATGAACTACATACGGAGTATAATGTGTGAATCTATACTCTAAAATGTGTTTATATACATTCATATGTACTCCCTCTGTTTCAAGATAGATGACTCAACTTTGTACTCCCTCTGTCCGGAAATACTTGTCGTAGAAATGAATAAAAATGGATGTATCTAGAACTAAAATACATCTAGATACATCTATACCTTGGACAAGTATTTCCGGACCGAGGGAGTACTAAAGTTTTCCGCAAAAGAAAAACTTTGTACTAAAATTAGTACAAAGTTTAGTCATCTATTTTAAAACGGAGGGCCTGCATTGAAATATTTAAAAGAACTTATATTTAAAAACGGAGAGTATTAATTTATATATATATATACATACATACATACATAGTGTTACTATTCATCATCTAGGGTGCAGAATAAGTTATTATTCACCCGAGGTAATCTTACGATCATTTCATAATTAAATTACATTTCGAATTCAAATAATTATATTCCTATTGATTCACTACGTAAAATTTGACATAAAAAAATAAAAATATAGGTGATAAGACAAGAAAATTTACAGTTTATGTGTATTTTAGATTATGTTTTTACGTTTGTAATTTTACATAACATAAAATATTTTTTACGGCGATTATATATTTTCTTACGGTCCCTTTTTACGTCGGAAATAAAAAAAAACTTACGGAACGTAAATTTACGGTGCATTGATGGTAAAATAGAGGGGGTGAAGAATAACTATTTCTCACCCAGGGTGACGAATAGCGCGACCCCATACATACATACATACATATATATATATATATATATATATATATATATATATATATATATATATATATATATATAAGACTTACTTTAAAGACGTATGGTTCTCTTTTGCAGTGAACCTTCTGCATTGTTGGAAACCATGTTTCGACTATGCACATTGTTGATCACTGCATTTCAATGATAGTAAGAAAAATTTGGATAATCCTAAAAATATCAACGAGGCAACGGCTAGTCCTTTGTATTTTTTATTGTGCATGATGCCTCACCCTTTCAACATCTTATTTTGTTAATCCACCATGACACCTTCATTTGTAATTCGCACACTCTGAGTGCTACCATGTCTTCTTTCACCACGTGTTGTCAAAATCTGCAAAGGATACATATTAGATTCACTCTTTTTTACAGTGTGTGTGTGTTGTCTGGAGCTGGTACGTAAAGACAACATATTAGCCTTGTTCAAAGGAGCATTGTTCTTTTGTCATGTTCCTTGCATGTACCTACTATAGATAAGTTCATGTCAACAGATCATGAAAAGGTTAAAGAATCCGCCATAGAGCACAAATAGATGCAACAACTAAGGGTCATGGAGGCCTAGTTCGTCTCCTTCAATCGTCTCCCACCTATAGACATAGGCGATAACATGGCACTCCCATGGCTGAGCTAGCCTGGTTATCAGCGGCCTCAGCCCATGTGCAATGGCCAACGAATCGTCCAGGCATGGAGAAAACGTGGGGTCTTTATATGCCACGAGAGCTATGCCTCGCTAACCGTGAGACCTAAGCTCGTCTCGCCTCTAACGCTTCCGCTAATGGGCTGGTCCACAATGTGCGTACCATAAGGAATACCAAGTTTGGAGAAGCGAACACTAAATTATTTCAGGCAAAAGCAACTATCAAACACAAAAACATTTTTATTGCTGTCCTCCAAGATGAGACGGGAGTTGAAGTACAAGATCACCATGCCAAGGCTGCTATCCTCTACAGAGCTTTTAAAAATAGACTGGGACAAACCACAAAATCTGAAAACCATTTGCAACTCCACCACCTTTTGCCACATTCAGAACATTTGCAGGAATGGGAACCCCATTTTCACTCCCATAAATTGATGATGTTGTCAAGAACCTGTCATCCGATAAATAACTAGGGCCTGATGGTTTCAATGCAGCTTTCTTACAACATTGTTGGGATATTATTGCACCTGATTTCTATAAGTTGATTTTTGACTTCTTTGAGGGTAGAGCTAATATTCAGAGTATAAACTACTCCTTCATCACTCTAATCCCAAAGAAAGAGGTTGTTGTGGCCCCAAGAGATTTTAGAGCAATATCCCTTCTCAATTGTAGCTTGAAGATTATCACCAAGTTGCTAGCTAATGGATTTATAGAAGCTGATCTTAAAACTTGTTCATGAAAATCAGTATGGCTTCCTGAACAACAGGTGTATCCAAGATTGTTTGGCATGGTCATATGAGTACATCCACGAGTGTTACCAATCCAAAAAAGAAATTGTACTCATAAAATTGGATTTTGAGAAGGCCTTTAATCTTCTTAATCATAATACAATCCTTGATATATTACCTGCTAGAGGTTTTGGTAACAGATGGATTAGTTGGATCAAACAGATTTATAGCACTAGTTTTTCAGCAGTCCTCCTCGATGGAGTGCCAGGGAAGCAGTTTCTTTGCAAACAAGGGGTGAGACAGGGTGACCCTTTGTCACCACTTATTTTTGTACTGGCTTCTGATCTACTTCAATCCATGTTGAATGAAGCAATGACAAATCATATTATTGAAGCACCTCTGTAGCACCAGTCATGTCCTGCATTTCCTGTCATTCAATATGCAGATTGAAGTAGACCTGCTTCCCCTATCCAATTAGAGCATGTCAAGAACCTCTACTTCATTATGATGCATACACTGGACTTAAAGTAAACTACTCCAAGCCCACCCTAATATCCATCAATACTCCATTGATGCAAGATTTGTCTACCATGCTTGGTTGTCACATTGGCAAGTTGCCCATCTCATATCTGGGTCTACCATTGTGCCATTTGAATCCCAAAGTTGAGGATTTCTCCCCTATGCTCAAAGGAATCTCTTCTAGGTTGTCTGGTTGCAACACCTGTTAGGAAACGTTGCATGGAAAACAAAAAATTCTACGCACACGCAAGATCTATCCATGGAGATGCATATCAACGAGGGGGGAGAGTGTATCTACGTACCCTCGTAGACCGTAAGCGGAAGTGTTTCACAATGCGGTTGATGTAGTCAAACTTTCTTCGCAATCCAACCGATCAAGTATCAAACGTACGACACCTCCGCGTTCAGCACACGTTCAGCTCGGTGACGTCCACAACTTCTTGATCCAGCAAGACGGCGAGGTAGTGAATGAGTTCCGATAGCACGACAGCATGGTGACGGTGATGGTGAAGTGATCTCCGCAGGGCTTCACCTAAGCACTATGAAAATATGACCGGGGGTGTAAACGGTGGAGGGGCGCGCTGCACACGGCTAAGAAAAATTTGTGCTTGTGCTAGGCGCCCCCCTCCCACATATATACAGGTGGGGAGGAGGGAGCAGCCAGGAGGGCGCCCCAAGTAGGCTGAATCCTACTTGGGATCCTCCCCAAGTGGTGCCCCCCTTCCTTATTTGCCAGAGAAGAAAGGAAAGGGGGGAAGAGAGAAGGAAGGGGAGGCCAAATCCTCCCCCCCTTTCCTTTCCCCACTTGGGCGGCTGCCATGGGGGGCGTTGTTAGGGAACGCAGTAATTTCAAAAAAAATCTTACGATCACGCAAGATCTATCACTAGGTGATGTATAGCAAGGAGAGGGGAGAGTGTTGCCTACATACCCTCGTAGGTCAAAAGCGGAAGCATTTCAATAACGCAGTTGATGTAGTCGAACTTCTTCACGATCCAACTGATCAAGTACCAAACATATGACACCTCCGCGATCTACACATGCTCAGCTCGGTGACGTCCCACGAACTCTAGATCTAGCTGAGGTTGAGGAAGAGTTTCGCCAGCACGACGACGTGGTGACGGCGATGATGAAGTTATCGGTGCAGGGCTTCGCCTAAGCACTACGACGATATGACCGAGGTGTGTAACTATGAAGGGGGGCACCACACACGGCTAAAACAATTATCAACTTGTGTCTTTGGGGTGCCCCCCTCCCCCGTATATAAAGGAGGAGAGGGGAGGCCGGCCTGCCCTCATAGGCGCGCCAAGGGGGAGGAATCCTCCTCCTAGTAGGAGTAGGACTCCCCCCTTTCCTAATCCTACTAGGAGAAGAAGGAAGGAGGGGGGAAGAGAAGGAAGGAGGGGCGCCGCCCCTCCCCCTAGTCCAATTCAAACTAGGCCCATGATGGGGCGTGCGGCCAGCCCTTGGCAGCCCCTCTCTCTCTCCCCTAGGCCCAATAAGGCCCATTACTTCTCCGGTGGTTCCGATAACCTTTCCGGCACTCTAGTTTTATCCGAAACTTCTCCGGAACACTTCAGGTGTCCGAATATAGTCGTCCAATATATCAATCTTTATGTCTCGACCATTTCGAGACTCCTTGTCATGTCCGTGATCACATCCGGGACTCCAAACAATCTTCGGTACATTATATCACATAAACTCATAATACCAATCATCATCAAACGTTAAGCGTGCGGACCCTACGGGTTCGAGAACTATGTAGACATGACTGAGACACGTCTCCGGTCAATAACCAATAGTGGAACCTAAATGCTCATATTGCTTCCTACATATCCTACAAAGATCTTTATCGGTTAAACCGCATAACAACATACGTTGTTCCCTTTGTCATCGGTATGTTACTTACCCGAGATTCAATCGTCGGTATCATTATACCTAGTTCAATCTCGTTACCG